AAAGGGGGGCTTTGTGTTTGAACTGTTTCAGTAACGCATCCCTGGTCGCCTGGCGGTCCAACTCGTTCCTGACTTCGTGAGTCGGACTGTCGATGTCATCTTCCCAGATCGCGTAAAACGCGGGGCACGTAGCGTCCACTTGGAGATAGAGTCCAACCGTATCGGACGAGAGGACTTCCTCGCCATGTTTGCACATGGTTCTGAGCAGTGCGGAGTCTGCAACGAGCACGAGCCGAACGTATGTCGGGGGTTCAAGATCGTGCTCTTGAAGGGACTCGTACGCCTCTTGGGGGGTATCGTAGATGACGAGTTTGCCCCAAAGGGGGATGGCGGAGCTGGTGTGCTCCCCGTAGTCCTTTGTGCTCTTGGCACAGAGGGCTAATGGTGCTCCCTCGACTTCCATTGCGTCCTACGCATGCAACGTGGTGGTAGGGACGAGGGACGGGCGGAGGGAGTAGACGGCATCTGTTTTAGTGCGGGAATAATCGTCGGCTACGCGTTGTGCGCACCACGTTTGTTTGACACTACCATGGCAGCTCTATGGCAGCTCTATTGTCGACACACACGCAAGCGGCAACGTCGCTACTACAACGAATCACAACATAGACCTCAAATTATGGGACATCGAACACACATACCCGAAGGCACCATGTTTGGTCGTCCGCAAGCTTCTTGGCCACGGTGACGATTGCCGCCCGACGGCCGCCTATGCCGAGTCGGACGCAATCTTCGTCGTCCGCACCACCTTCACGCTGTAGGGCGAGAGCTTGTTCGATCATGCCGGATACAGCCGCCGGGGTCGTGTTCTCGGGAAGACCGATCGGTAGAGTGCCCGCCTTGACCCGGTGGAGGTCCCCTGCCTCCGATTCGTGCTTGTCAACAAAAAAATCGGGTCGGACGAAGTTCATGATGGGAAGAAGGGCAAAGTATAGGGACGCATGCATGAATGGGTTAGACGCCAAAGTGTACGGATGAACATACGTAGTGGCATCGTTTGGTAGAATATGAGACATTTGACCCGGCGCCCATATTGGAGGGAAACGCAACACACAACACCAGTAGTACACGTATAAATGGGCTAGCAAAGATGTATCTTGGCAGACGATCAGCGGCATCGGCACTCACTCGAACATGTTGGAGTCTCCAGCTTTCTAGGAAGGCGTCGTCCAAGACTTTGCGGACCGTTTCTCCGGCTTCATCTCCACCCACAAGGAACGCCTCAGCCCGCCGGCCGTACCTAAGCGCCGCGTCTACGACCCCGTCCTCGTCAGCGGTCAACGTCGCCACGGTGTCTCCGTAACTAGTGAACCTGAATGAGGGGGCAGCGACGAAGACAGACAGACAGCGCGTGTATTGAGCACGTTGGATACGTTTGGAGCAGCTGTGTTTGCCGTTGCATCACAGTCGCCGAAAATAAATAAATAAATAAGGTGACGCAGCCCGACATTTGTCCCGGAAGTGGTACTACTCTTGCGCCGTCGTAAACATTCTCTGCCCTGTAAGTATTCTAGGTCCCCCACGATTCGAACGCAAACAAGACCTTGACAGGATTTCACTTTACTCGGGACTTGGACAGAGGAAAAAGCACGGAGGGACGTCTCCTACTATCACTTACCGCTGAATCGCCCAGACGGCGACGTTGTCGGAGAAGCGCCTCTTAGCTCCGAGGTAAGGGACCGCAGTCATCACCGATGCAGCGGCGGTGTTGGGGTCGTGCCTGCCCTCTGACGTACGCAGCATGCCATCGAACTTTTGCGGTAACACCTTCTCGTGGCACGTGAAGTCGTCGCCTTGCCTGTGTGCGACGAGGAAGTGATCGACACCGGTTGTAAGATGCAGAGCCTTCTTCGGAGACACCAGGCCACCTCCCCTGGAACCGTACTCCACCACCAAGCCATGCTGTTCGAGGGTGAGTTTCATCTCCACCTGCCTCAAGGAGTCTGGAAGATTACGACAAACGATTGCAGACCGAACGAGGGACACGAGAGGAAATAATCAACGAAGGAGAGGATGACGCACATGATTCGCGCCGCTCAGCGGTAACGGTTCTTCTTCTTGAGGAGGATGTGTTTGACGAACGAAGGAGAAACATACCGTAAACTACGGAGTTTCCCCCCCTGGGAGGGGATCGTTTTTTTCTCTGAAACCAACCCCCACGTGTGGAAGTTGACGTACCGCGGGGGGAAAAAATGTTTTTTCCAACGCTTACCCGGGGGGAAGCCCCCCCCCCCCGGGGTTGTTGTGCACAACAATGATGGTCCACACACCACACACACAGAGAGTGGCGAAACCCAAACGGATAAGGTTTGCGAGCAAGTGAGGCCAAAAAATAAACGGTACACCTAAATCTCGCTCCCAGCGCAAATCTGCAGATAGATGAACTTTCGGTCCCATATCGTGCTTGTATGTGCTCCACAATGCAACAAAATCCACTCAGTAAATAAGGGAAATACATCCCCCCCGGGGGGAACTCCTGGGAAAACTGGTACCCCCGGGGGGGGGGGGAGGGGGGGGGGGA